ATATGTATTTTGAAGCGCTGATTCCAAACCTGCCTTCGGTATCTGCTGTCTGCTCTCCCGAATGAAGTTATGAACATTTCTTTCCACCGAGGTTTGCACTTTTTTTGATGACAGACTTTGCCAATATCGTCGGAATGTTCAACTCACTACAAAAGAGCGCCGAAATAAATGAAGCTCAAAGTTAAACTCAGAAGAACTGTTTCCGATATCAAAGTCCAGAAGCCTGGATACTGACGATTCTGACTTCCTAAAAGCTGAAATTAGCGAGGAAAAAAGTTCATAACTTCATCCAGAGGGAGAGGCACAGCAGATATGGAATACAGATTTGGAATCAGCGTTTCAAGACGCACCCACTGGTATACATATCACTGCAAAAGGCCATGGTCACGTATCCTTCCTTTGTAAGTCACTCCAAGTCCTGCTGCAAAAGGTCTTTTCCGAAGCGGGAAAACTTCAAAATTTGAAGCTGTTGGAGTTGCCACGCTCCCATCCAAGATGATAAAAGTGATGCGCCAAAAACAAAAGCAATGGATTGGCGTGGCGACCCTAGAAGCGTTCACCTCCTGAAGGATTTTCGCGCTTTGGATCGGACTTTCTGTACCGCGATTTAAGTAGTCACTTGGTTAGAGGCATCGGTATAACTGCATCAGAATGTCACCACTCCCAGATTTAGCTGGATAGTCCTTCAAGCACTTAGAGGCAAAGCTCATAGGCGTTAGCTTTCGCGCGTTTGCATGGCTTATCTTGTTGTGCAGTCACACCAGAAGCCTACTTGCTTACTGGACACGTTCCAAAATTTTCACACTTTTGAACTAGCGGGCGCGAAGACTACGACAAGAGGCGTCGCTAAGTAACTATGCGAAAATTAGAATGAAAAATGCATTTAAAAGAAGCGGAAGCAAGCTAATGAAAATGATAAAGATAAAGCATACTAATAGTTGCGCTATATCAGAAATGATAAATTCCGAAGCGCTACTGATTACCAAAATCAAAGACATCTAAATTCATTCGCGCAAGCATAGCATTCCATAAAATTGCAAAAGAAGCCTACTAATAGGGGAAGAATAATAGAAAACATTTGTGGAAACAACACTTTCTAAGAAGAAAAGGTGTAAGAATTACGTTATGGCAAAGACCCATTAATGTTTTCTGATCATCTTCAGAAATTCTATCGTTTTGTCTCTAAAAATGCAAGTGAAGCAAAGCTTACAGAACAAAAAAACGAATTCAAATAAGCAAACATGCGAATTCTAGACTTTTACCTGGAAAGTATACAGTTTCTGCAATGGGAAGAGCCTCCAAACCGCACAGCGGCCACTTTCTGATCCTGTGATGACATAGTCGCCATCTCTAGTCAAACATGCGCATTCGATTCTGAACAATTTTGAAAATATGGGAGTTCAGAAATCAAGTAAAGCTAAACGACGAACTTCTCATCAGTCGCAGCCTCATCCAGCTGATTTGCCGTAGTAGTGAGCGTGACGAAGCGATGGTGTCCATAGATGGCCATCACAACACATTCTCGACTCATGAGCAACTGTGATACTCGCTGTTTACCATTCCAGCGCCGCAACATCTCTCCAGCAGTTGTGTGCATTAGGATTGTGCCGTCTGAACATGAATAAAATAGTTCTAATTATTGAAATACCAGTATTTAAGCATAGATAATAAAACTTATAGTGTATAAGATAATGCACTTTAAAAATTATAAAACAATGAATATAACCTGCTCCATGACGAAGGCGGTCGCCCAAATAGGTTGAA